GTCGAGCGCAGATCCACTGAGCGCTCAACACAGACAGCATCGTCCGAAGAAAAGTTGATAAAATAAATTTAAAAATTGTATTGTTCAATACATACGCGTACCGAACCGAAAGCACTGTATCGAACGGTTCAATATCGATACGAGTATTGTATATATATATATATATATAAAATTTTCATTGTAAGTGGGCTGAAGAAGTTAATTAACAGTAGTCTAACATAAATGTAAATGCTGTAATTTGCTTATTTTAATAAACCATGTAACTTGGATGGATTTGATGCTGGCGTGACCACAGTGCACACGCCTGCTGTTGCTTACAGTGGTCCAAGGGATCGCTCAGGGAGTTTGTGTGTTCGCTCAGACACATGAAAATTTAGAGGGAACATTGGAGACCAGCATGGTGGAGAAAAAGTGTTTGGCCATCCGGTGGGGAGCACCAGTTTATGAGAGAGATTATAGTATTAAATGTAGAGCTGAAATCAACAAATACGGAGGGCCTTGAGTGCCCAAACAAATTAATTAAATCATTAAATATGTCATTTATGTATCATTATTTCAAATTGGAAACAAATATATAAATTAAATATTAATTAATTTCATTTAAAACATTTAATTGTCTCCAGTTTTAATTATTTACCATTATTTAATGACATCATTGATATTGGCACTCCTGGCCCTGCTGCACAACTTTGGATTTGTGTAGAATTACTTGTGCTAGGATAAATGAGCATACTTCCCAAAGACAAGCGGTAGGGTATGATGTTCCGCACTGCAAAACTTTACCTATGTCACTCATTAGAAGAATTGCTGCAATTAAAATCAATCTGTTCTCGCCAATTCCTTAGAAATCCTCTTTTGCTCGGTTGAAGTCACCAGTTTCAAACATCTCAAGATTTTTATGGATAGACGAACAATCCAAAATACGTTTAAAAACTCACCAGAAGCTAACACACAATAGTTGTTTAGAGCTACCAAAGTCAAATCACTACTGCTTAGCTAAAGAGAACAATATCGCTTTTTAATTGACACATCACTACAGTGGTATGAAAGTTTTTGCACCCTTCCTGATTTCCTATTTTTTGCATGTTTGTCAAACTGAACTATTTCAGATCATCAAAGAATTATAAATATAAGACAAACACAACATAAGTAAACACAAAGTTTCTAAGTGAAGGTGTTAAGGGGGAAAAAATCCAAACCTACATGGCAGAGTGTGAAAAAGTGTTTGGCCCCTAAAACTAATAACCAGTATTATACAAACTTCACTGAGCTTACAGCTTATCAGTATGAAAGGTGGCTGGCACTGAAAGAATATTGAATATTGATGATATGTATTTAAAGACACACACACGTTCTTCAGCTATGCCGTTGTTGTTAGCTTGGCCTTGGTGAGCCTCAGCAGATATTCCTGAACTTTGTTCCTCACAAATTTTGTAATCTCGCAAGATTTTCAATTTTACCTTGGCAGTTCTTTTCCAGTGCTAAGACATGATTGTAGATGTCAACAAAGTCCCTCAGCATGGGACAACATTCCTCCTCTACTCACATTATTGGTTACTGCAATTTGGAGATGATTTTGTTCAAAATGCACCCATCTGAACCCTCGTCCCCCTCACCATCCCTAGTCCGAGGTGGCTGTGATTGTGGAAGGCTGTGGTTCCAAGAACCGGAGGTTCCACCTGGAGTTCACAGCTGGTGTGGGTGGAGAATGCCCACAACTCAATGACATCTTCAGCCACTGGAGTGTCTCCCTTCGAGGCCTCCCTGGGATACCAATCCCCGTTGCTGTCTGTCTCGGAAGGGGAACTCCCTTCCCTTCAATCCAGAATCACGTGCATCGTTGTTGCCACCTCTGGAGATCCAGATCCTCAGGTCAGTGGAACAAAATAAACGTTTGGCAGATTGTCATGTTTCAGTTCCCACATATCAGGCTGATCAGAAGGTCTGGCTCTCCACCAAAAATGTACCTCTGAGGACCAAATCTAAGAAGTAGGAAACTTGGTTCATTGGCACATTTGAGGTGCTGTTAATTATTAACCCAGTGACTGAGCGTTTTTCACAGTGGAGCATTTGTAAATATTGAGTGTTGGAGTTGTTTACCTGTCACACCACTGACCACAAGAACTGAGCGGGAGTCAGGAGCACATTTACAGAAGCCACGTCTGTGGAAAGTCTTTCAGTATTGTTCACATTCACACTGTGAATAACAGTGAGAATTTACAAAATCTTCCATTTTGGTCCCGTTCTTGCCATGCACTCTCAATGTAGGATGTTTCTAAAATGTAAAATGTAGCATGTTTTGGATTTAGAACATCGGTTCGACTACATGTGTAGAGAGTCATTTAGCAGCATCACCTAAAGAACACCACTACACCTGTCTCAGCAGCATCAATAAGGGTTTAGACCTCTGCTCCATTATTGACATATAATAACTCCAGCGTCTTCTTGCTGTTGGGTAATTAAAAAATAATAATTACCTATGAAAGAGAAAAAATGTGATGTAAACTTCATGTACATAAAGTTCAGAATCTCAGGTTTCCAGAAATTTTTACTTTAAATTATTTGGACTCATTCTAATCATTGTTGAGCTTTTGATTTTGTTTAAGTATATGCCAAAGGTCTAATTATGATGTATATGGAGGTAAAAGGTGAGGTAAGATGAGTTAGTTCCCCTTCCAAGTTACTCAACAGTGAAGCTTGGGAACAATCCCACAGCTGAAAACATGGGGTGGTTCTATTGATTTATCCTCTGAGCAGTGCGGAAGATGGCAGTGTTGAGGGCATGGTGATGGATAATCAGTAAAGCCATCACAATTTACTTTTGCCAACACCTGGAGTGCTTTATTCCAAGACACTGACATTGTTTTAAGATGTGTGGATAAAGTTTGGCATTCCAGGAAAACCAGCTCTCTGATGCAGCGCAGAATCAGCACAGAGCTGTGTGTCTCTTTGTTGCAGGGCTGATAACATGAAGGGTTTGTGGCTAATTCTGCAACACTGTTGTAATGTTGTGAAATGACAGTGAAAGAGGAAGTATAATGATTGTGTTGCTCCAAGGTGGTTTGACAATAGCGAGCAGTTTACTGCAGGCTGGAAGAAATTTCAGACATGGGGTTCATCCAGAGTGCAGTGCCTGGGCACGGCCACGAGGTGGTGATAGAAGTTGAGGTGGGTCAGGGTTAGGGTCTGATGAGGGCTTTGATGGGTGACCTTCAGTCCAGTTGGTGTTGTTTGCCTCTCCTCAGACCTGGCTGCAGTCTGCTGATTATAGAAGAATCTGCAGTACAGAAAAGCAAGAACAAGCAGACCCCAGACCCACTGCAAACACTAAATAACGAGACGACTCCATGTGGGTGCCAGACTTAAGGAAATCTTTGTGCAGAAGCGAATCGTGTTTCTCTCCAGAGATTCGTGGGATGATGTTTGCATGCTTCAGCTCCACCCTGAAGCTCTGAGTCTGCCATTGGATTTTACCATTCAAAGTGAACTCCGATGGAGGGCGTTCTTAAACGCAACACGGCACCACCTTTTGATTACAGTCTCTCACAGAGGGCCTCACCTATTACTGCTGCACTTTGCTTAAGTTTAAAACAACTTACAATATCAGATCACAGTTCATCATTTTCGTACGAAACTTGGAAAAAAAGAAAGTATACTTTATTGATCTCCTTGGGGAAATTCCTCTCTGCATTTAACCCATTCACTTAGTGAAGCAGTGGGCAACCATTGGGCGCCCGAGGAGCAGTGTGTATAGACAGTACCTTGCTCAGGGGTACCGCAGGGTAGCTGTTCAGTGGATTTGAATCACCGGCCTTTCGATCATGGGGCCACCACTCTACCTATTGAGCTATCCCTGCCTTAAAAAAAGGATGCTATGTCAGAAATTGACTGTGGTCAAAGAACAAATGTTTGATTTTAATGAGCCAAATAAAAAGAATCACATAAATTAAAAAGTCAGCGACAAACAGGTCATAAGACATTTTTACTATTAGTACTTTTACTATATTTAAATGTTGCTGTTTGTACGTGAGATTATAGATAAAGTTTTATTGGGGATAACCACAGTGGGGGTCACGTGTTAAAGTTGCAGTTAAATAAACGTGAATGAAAGAATCTGCAGGAAATAAAGTTTCATCTTTTTTAAACTTCATGATTTTTCCGCCCCGCCCCCTGTATGTCAGCGCGCGGGTCTGCGGACGTGGCATGCGTGCTTCCTTCTTTCCTCTCGTGAAGAAGGACCAATGAGAAAAGAGTCCGCGGACAGCAACCCTCTGACATCACCGAGGGAGCATGACGTATAACTGAGGTGGACCAATCAGGTCGAGGGAAAAGTCTGACGCGGGCTCTGATTGGCTGCGGAGGCCCAGAGGCGGCTCCGCGGGGTCGCAGACAGCGGGGCTCGGTGTGAGGAACGAGCAGAGCAGAGGTCGCCAGGTGTAAGAGTAGCACGCGCACAGGTGAGAGGAGAGCAGGTGAGCTGATGCTCCAACAGCTGTAGCGAGTTTGAGGCAATCAGCAGTTTTATGAATATTAAACAGAAACTGTGATGTTTGTAAAACCAGAGTTTATTATCATGTGACTGACGTTTGCGAGAGAAGCTGACTGTGAGTGAAAATATTCAATTTAAAGCTTAAAATGTAAACTTTGTTTCTGTGTGTGTGTGCGTGCGTGCGTATGTCTGTGTCTTTGTATGTGTGTCACAGTGTGTGTCAGGATGGTGCGTCCAGTGCTTGTGTTCCTCATCCTTGCTGTGGTGGTCAGCAGCAGCAGTAAGCCCACAGAGAGGAAAAGTCGGGTCCATCATGAGGAGCCTCTGAGCGCCCTTGAGCATGACGACCAGAAAAACTTCGACTACGACCACGAAGCATTTTTGGGTCAAGAGGAGGCCAAAACCTTTGAGCAACTTCCTCCAGAGGAGAGCCAACGCAGACTCGGGTGAGTTCAGGTCATCTGAAGCTTCGCCTGGTTTTTCTGAGTGATGAAGAGAAGCAGGCCGGCCTCGGCTCTCCACATTGAAGTACAGCCCGATCAGACTGTGGCTGAGCGCTGTGCAGGGACAGGGTCCACAGGGCATAATGAGAAATTCAGACAATCACTTCCTGTAGCTGCGTCATGCTGACCGTGAGGAAATAGACGTCCTCACTGGTCGAATCGTCTCCACCTCCAGCTGCTGCAGACGCAGGAGAAACTTTACAATTTCAACTCACATACTCAGCTCAGCTGTGTTCACAGAAAACTCAATACAATTAAAATAAAGTCCAGTGTATTTCCTGGACCTGTGAGCTCAGTTTGGGTTCAGTTAGGTTAGATATTTCTCAAGTCTAGTCTTTATTTTTGTTGCCTCTCATAAAGATGTTGTTTTTGACTTTGCGCTCTGGTAATTCGTGTCTCTGCAGCATCATCGTGGATAAAATTGACACTAACCGCGATGGTTTCGTCTCTGAGGAGGAGCTGAAGGCTTGGATCAGAAATGCTCAGAGGAAGCACATCTATGACAGCGTGGAGCATCAGTGGAAAGACTTCGACTTGAACGGCGACGGCCGCATCAGCTGGGACGAGTACAGGAACGTGACATACGGCAGTTATCTGGGTCAGGACTCCATCTGAGGTTATTAGGTCTTCTTTGATAAATGTTATTGTGCTGTAATCAATCTGATCAGGTCTCTCATTGCTTGGTTCCAGATGACCCTCCAAAGGAACCAGAGTACAACTACACCCACATGATGTCGAGGGACGAGCGGAGGTTCCGGGTCGCAGACAGGAATGGAGACCTCATCGCAGACAAACAGGAGTTTACCGCTTTTCTTCATCCTGAAGAACACGAGTACATGAAGGACGTCGTGGTGCAGGTGAGACTGATGTCGTGGGGTCATGTGACCCACTGTTTCGTTTCAAATATTTAACTTTCTTTTTTTGTCACAGGAAACGATCGAAGACATCGACAAGAATGGAGACGGGTTTATCGACCTGAAGGAGTATATCGGTGAGGTTTTATCGATCAGGTGGAGCATTAGAGGAAACAGGAAGCAACTGATCTGAAGGTCAGGAGGTCAGGCCTTTACCTTCTCCTGACAGACGGACTAGACAGTGATGGTCTCATGGAGCCTATGCATGCTTTTTGTGATGTCACGCAGCAGGGGGCAGCACTGTGACGAGCTCGCTGCTGAATACCACAAAATTTACCTGCGGCTGAATTTATTCTGTGTGCTGCAGCTTTCCTTTTTATGATTAGCCAATCAGAGTGATGGTTAGGTGGAAGTGTGTGTGTGTGTGTGTGTGTGCGTGCGTGTGTGTGAACAGACTGTAACCAAACGGATAACAGATTTAAGTTCCTCTTCTAAGTTTGGTCACTTCTTGTCACGTCCAATTGCCCCTCCCTGAGCCTGGTTCTGCCGCAGGTTTCTTCCTTTTAAAAGGGTGTTTTTCCTTCCCACTGTCACCAAAGTGCTTGCTCATAGGGCGTTATATGATTGTTGGAGTTTCTCTGTATTATTGTATTGCCTTGAGGAAAATGTTGTTGTGATTTGTGCTATATATAAACAAACTGAACTGAATTGTCGTAGGTGACATGTACATGTCTCAGGACGGCGAGGAGGAGCCTGAGTGGGTGGCGACAGAGCGTCAGCAGTTCTCGGAGTTCAGAGACAAAAACAAGGATGGGAAGATGGACAAAGAGGAGACGATGGACTGGATCCTTCCCTCTGACTATGACCATGCCGAGGCCGAAGCCCAACATCTGCTGCATGAGTCTGATGCCAACCAGGTGAGGCTGAACCAAATGCGCCCCTCGCAGCTTTCTGTTTACCTGCTTGCATGTGTAACAGCTGATTTTTGTGTCTTCAGGATGGAAAACTGAGCAAGAAAGAGATTCTGGACAAGCATGAGGTGTTTGTCGGAAGTCAGGTGACAGACTTTGGAGAGGCGCTACTGCGACACGACGAGTTCTAGAAGGTCACATGATTGAAGCGTCGCTGGAACAAACTGCTTCTGAATTTTGGTGGAAACTTTATGGAGATAATTTATTTTTAGAGCCAAAGAAGAAAAAACAGTTTTGATGTTCAACAGTTACTGCCAGGTTGTTAGGCCAGACTTTTTTATTTTTCGTATGTGTTTTTTGCTCCTCACGAGTTTCTGCAGTACAGAAGCGTAAAACACTGACCCGCCATTTTCACTAAAATCCACTTTTATTTCATTTAGCGTTGAAGAAAATTATGTCATTGGGACACAGTTGGACTAAAAGGAGTGCTCATGTGATTTCAGGTGAGAGCGCCTTACTGTCGTAGCTGTGTTGGTCATTTGGAAAAAAATCTCACGTAAACGTTTTACGCTTCGTCCTTCAGAGCGTTGCCACTTTGGAGCAAATAACAAATGGTTTTTATAAAGATTTAAAGATGCCTTAAAGCATAGGTGTCAAACTCTGGCCCGCTGGCCTACTGGTATTATACAACTACTATATATATTGTTTAGTTCCATATTCAGTTTTTCAGCAAAACTTATTTGAGTCCATAAATCTGGAGGAAGATTTTTTTTTTTTCATTAAATATTAATGTTAGCCCGCGACCTTGTTACAGTTTTGAATTTTGGCCCACTGTGTATTTGAGTTTGACACCCCTGCCTTAAAGCTTAAAAAAATCTACAGACAAAGTCTGAGTTTTATGTCGCATTTTTACCTGTTTATCAATAAAAATAAAAAAAAAGTGAAACTCAGAGTTTGGTTTCGTGAACGTTTTATTCAGAAAGTCTAAAGAAAGACACTTCACTGTTTTTAATGTTCATTTTTGCCTTTTATCTAAACACGTATGTTCTACAGGAACATAGATATCAGCTGATCGTGTGTACGTATAAACTTTATTTACATAACGATGAGAATACAGGAAACATTCGTCCTCCAAACTCTGACCTGTGAAGGTCCTCTTCAGCTCAGTCACGCCCTCTTAAAAGTTCTTTGTGTCACTTTGGTGTGAGCATTAAGAAGCTGTGGACACTTCAGTCTTTGTGGAAACTTCGGAGGATTCGTCCATTGTCTTTCCAAACACCATCTCCATGATACAGCCATTAAACTGAGAACAGAACAGAAGAACTCATCATCACTTCAGCGGCAGGGACAACTCAAACTGTCAGAGAAAAGCTGCGAAAAACTAAACCCTGCGTTCTGCACTGTGTTATCTGAGTGTGCTCACCTGTTTGTTCATGAAGACGTAGATGAGTGGGTTGTAGACGCAGGCGCTCTTAGAGAAAAACGCCGGGATGGTGACAAGTCGATAGTCTTTGTTTTCATCTGTGGAGTAGGCAAAGTAAAGAGCTGCCAGGGCGTACGGGCCATAGCAGGTGACGAAGGACCCCACCATAACGATGATCATTCTTGACACCTCCTTCTCCGCCTTCTGGGTGGAGGCTGACTCAGCCTGCTGGGCTGCAACCTGCAGAGGAAACAACAAGGCTAAGCTTTAATGGAGTGAAGTTCTCAAGCTCCAAACACACAACCAGCACAGAGACTCAGTTAATCACTTAGTGCTGGCTGATTGATTGATTGATTGATTGATTGATTGATTGACTCACTGCTCTCAGAGCACCCAGCAGCTGGGAGTAGCAGAAGATGATGATGGAGAGAGGCATGATGAAGCAGGTGACCATGAGGAAGTGTATGTAGCTGGTCGTGTTGTACTGCTCATTGTGAGTGTACCAGTCGGGTCCACAGGAGCAGCCCAGACCTTCAGGGATGTACCTACCAACACAGACAGTCAGCTCACCTGTGCAGGACACACACGGCCAGAATCACCTGATGCCTACAGTACCTGCTCCAGCCAAAGAAAGGTGGGCAGGCACAGCCGACGCCCATGAACCAGGTGAAGGCCATTGCAGCCAGAGCGTGATTTGAGCCAAACTTAAAGGCTCCGAACGGTTTACAAATGACCAGGTACCTCTCAAAGGAAAGCACCGCCAAAGACCAGGCGGTCACCAGACCTGAAGAGGAGGGAGAAACACACCATTGCACCTGCACACACCTGTACACATCCTGCCGATGGATCGGGTGGTTTACCTGCCACGGAGCCCACAGCAGCCTCCAGAGCACACAGCGTGTGACCCAGGAAGTAGTAACCTCGCATGGAGGCTAAGAACACCTGACTGACAGAGAAGGTGACGAAGATGAAGCCGGAGAAGGAGATGTTGACAAGAATGAAGTTGAGTGGGACTCTGAGCTTCTTGTACTTCATCGTCGCCACGAGAACAATGAAGTTTAAAGGAGTGCCAGCAAAAAAAACAAAACCCATAAAGGCGGCCTGCAGGTAAAAGGCCCAGACAGGGGCCAGGTAATACTGGGGCCCCTCAAAGGGACTGACTTTGGAGATGTTCTCGTACAGGTGGAAGTGTTTTCCCATTGTGACCCTGAGCTCTTTGCCGCTGCCGCTGTGTCAGCCTCTTATATACGCTCATAAACCACTTACAGCAAAGATTATGCTGCTGGGATTTTTCTAAACTTTCAGGATTAAGAACTTCTGACTCCTTAATCTGCTTACAGAAGGTTTTCTCTGTGAACACACAGATCCACCCGAGTTCACCTCACTGCTCAAAAAAAACTTTGTGCTTTAAAGGTGACCGCAGTCGCATGCACGTCTTATTTAAATATTTATTTATTATTTTGGTAAATGGCTCTGGGATTAGCCCTTTAACTCCAAGGAATTGAACCTAGAACCATGTGGTCAGTGGATGAGTTTTCCCTCTTTTTCCAAACAAACTTAATTTAATGATTGATTTAATTAATTAAATTGTTAGTGATCAACACATACTTACAACAGCAATCATATTAACAGCCAATAACATGACAGTAAAACTTTAATTATGCTAAATGATTTATCTGTACTCTTTAAGTTTGGTTACACGTAATAACTAGAAACATTAGCATCCCGCCAACCAGCTCACTGTTGTGGAGAGGTCAGTGGGTGAGAAGCGAGGTACACTTGGACAGGTCACAGATTCAAACAAAGATCTCTTTTAGTGAGGCAACAGAGCTGACTGTTGCTCTGCTGCCAACTCTAAAAATCCTTCTTACAGATGAAGAGGTAAGTCCCTGCTGTGTGATATGGTTTGTGATGGGTTTATAAAGTTTTTAGTGTAATAAACACAAACTGTTGTCAGGCCCACTGCAGGGCGATGAAGACGCCTGATGATGAAGAGCAGCAGCAGGTGGCTGGCGGATCTAAATCCAATAAGAGTCTTTTGTTTTTCCGTGTGCTCAACTTCCGATGTAATCCGGATATTTCAGATTTACCTGACCAGGTGATCCTCCTCAATCCTCCAAATCCTTAAAACATCGTCACACAGTCAGATTAGAAGACTCACGACCACTGAAACGGTTAAAGGGGTTCAGCGTGAGGAAGACTGTGAGGAAGAGGAGGAGGAAGAACACTGAGCCTTTAAGAAGGAGCTGTCCTCCAACCTTCATCACTTCTCCTGCTCAGAGTCCGGAGAGCGTCGCGGACAAGAAGAAACTGCACCGTCTCCACTTCTGTTGCCCATTTTCATCCTGGACCAGACTGAAGAGGAGACACATTTATTGACTGATCGATTGATCAATGGCTGTAATGATTGCTGACCTTTAGAGCGGGGGCTGTATCATAACCAGGCTGTGAGCTGCATGGAGCATGGGTATGATACGACCTCAGTTTGGAGGTGACTTGCAGCCTTAAAAGACTGATTAATCACTGATGTATTGACTATTGATTACTTGCTACTATGGATTATTGATTAAGCTCCTGGTGGTTCAGGTATGAAGACCGGAGATTATGTCTGCTGCTTTCACTGTTTAATGTTAGGTTTCTGTTTGTTGTGAGTCTGTGCTGTAACACTAAAGGTCACAGTGGCCTCAGGTGTTCATGTATCCTGTATTATTTATTTTCATCTTTAATGTCTGTTAAATAAAAAAGAACCTGCTGATCAATGAAGTAATTTGATTGTGTGAATCATTACTTTACTTCAAACATTTAAATGAAACTCAGAAGCTGTTTTGGTTTAATTATTATTTTTTAATAAAATTCCTTTTTGGAGCATTGAGGCACACTATTATTCATCAGATTTATTATCCTGTTATTACAGTTATAACTTCAGAAATGTTTTTAACTTCCAAACTTCTGATTATTGAAGCTGAATCAAACTCCAAGCAGCTCAGTTTTTTTCTGTGAATAAAAATGCCCCACTAAAATGACTTATTGATCAATCAATGCCCTAAATTTTGTTCACAGATGACTTGCCGTGTTTCTTTGGGTTTTAGTGCAGTTAAATTCGACTCGATCATTAGAGCTCAGAGCACGTCATCAGGTCCCTGAACGTCTCTTTATCCAGGATCTCTTTTCCTTATAGGGCTTCATTTATACTAACATCATTAGTCAGGGTCAGAGGTCACAGGAAGTGGGAGATGAATGCGAGAAATGAACCCAAGGTTTGTCAGTCTACCTGAGAGTAGACGCCACAGCCTGCATCAGGTTTGGTTTAGTTACAAAAATAAATAAATCTGGAAGCATCAGAAACATGTCAGTCATAAGAACTTTAGCTCACATCATCAACCGTTGTTGATCTGTCTGTAACTTCCAAGCCTTCATTAAAATCAGAAATGAAGCTGAGCAGATGTTGCCACTGGTAAAACTCTTTAACATTGATGTCAGTGATGAAACTAACATTGTACCTGCTACTTGTTCATGTTCCCCTAATAAACGAAATGATCAAAAGTGTATTTGTATTCACTCAGATTATCTTTGATATTAAAGTTTGTTTGATCTGAAACAGTGTGACTGCACACGCACACACACTCAGGGTTAAATGTGATGATTTTAAATGTGTGTAGGTTCTTCAATATCCAGGTTCAGCATGTTAATTTAGTAATTACAAACATTTCAAGTGTAAATGTTTGTGAACATATTTATTTTTATTTGTACTCCTCCGTGTACGATCCCCTCCGTAAATCGCCTTGCTGTAGTGGAGGACTTTTGTGTCCCAAGTATCCATGGAGCTCTGTTGGCTTGGGGGGTCCGGTGGGCTGCTCAATCTGCTCAACATTTGGCAATAAACCCTATTCGGATTCTTCTGAAGTGTGGCTGGCCTCTCTGTCACAGACAGGGTGAGGAGTTTTGTCTTTTGAGAGGGACTCAGAGTAGAGCTGCTACTCCTCCACATTAAAAGGAGCCGGTGCGGTTTTAGATACGGGCGACACGGGCGGTTGCCCGGGGCGGCATCGTGGTGGGGGGCGGCATCACGGGCATCGGGAAAAAAAAAAAATGTTCGTAGTAGGGGAGACCGGGGATAGTTGTAACGTGGGTCAGTTGTAACACTTCCAATTTCTCCAATCAGGGCTAAGTTTCAAATGATGTGATTCATCTTGTGCATGCCCAACTCAGTTCTGCTATCACATGTGAAAAATCAGCACATTTTGTCAAACACAGACAATTTAACATGAAAAAAAGTAATTTGTATGCCAAAAA